TCTCTTGCATCGATCTATCAGTCTGCTCTTCCTCCACTGCACTAGACTTCACCTGGTCTGTTCTACCAGACTTACATGACAGCGATCATTTTCCGATCATTCTTACTTCTCCTTCCTATTCACCACCTTTCCGTAGCCCTGGCTGGCAATTTGATCGGGAAAATTGGGATCTTTACTCACACCTCACTGCTTTTAGTGAGGTTCCTTCATCCTCCATTGATGAGCTCCTACACATCTTCTCGACCTCAGTTTATACCGCAGCTTCTCATTCTATACCCCAAACCTCAGGCAGGCATTCAGACGTGCGTGCCTTGGTGGTCTCCTGCTTGTGCTCGTGCAGTACGTTTGAAACGTGCTGCATGGGGCAGGTACCAGTACAATAGAACCGCTGAGAGACTTCTTGATTTTAAGCAGAAGCGTGCGATCGCTCGCCGTGTCATCCGTGAAGCTAAACGCACTTGTTGGCGAGACTGTTTCCACCATCACCTCTGCTTCTTCTATGAGTGCAGTCTGGAAAAAAGTGAGGAAATTGAGTGGTAAATACTCTCCTGACCCGGCTCCTGTTCTACGGGTCGCTGGTGTTGATGTAGCAAGCCCTCTCGACATTGCCCTTGAACTTGGCACACATCTGATCCGTATTTCCCGAGGGCTCCATCTATGCCCCTCGTTTCTTTCCTCATAGTCTGCCAGAGAGTTAGTACCCTTGGACTTTTCTTCTCTCAGAGAAGAACAGTATAATGTGCCTTTTACACTTCAAGAACTGTAGGCAACGCTCTCAGCTTGCCGATCATCGGCAGCTGGGCCTGACGACATTCATATTCGTATGTTACAACATTTACATCGGTCAGCCCTTGTAGTCCTCTTACACCTCTTCAATCTTATTTGGGCACAAGGAGTTCTTCCCCAGCTGTGGAAATCTGCCATTGTTCTCCCTTTCCGCAAAAACCGGGTACTACAGGACATGATGCCTCCCACTATCGCCCCATCGCTCTTACTAGTGCAGTTTGCAAAGTGATGGAACGTCTCGTAAATCGACGTTTAATGTGGTATTTAGAGACACGCAACAGTCTCTCCGCTAGTCAATACGGCTTTCGTAAGGGCCGTTCTACCATAGACCCCTTACTACGCTTGGATACGTATGTTCGTAATGCCTTTGCGAATAATCACTCAGTTATTGCCATATTTTTTGACCTTGAGAAGGCATATGACACAACTTGGAGGTATAATATTTTGGCCCAGGCCCATTCCTTAGGCCTCCGAGGCAATCTACCATCCTTCCTTAAGAACTTTTTAACTGACAGACATTTCCGTGTTCGAGTCAATAATGTTCTTTCCCCGGACTTCGTCCAAGCTGAAGGTGTCCCTCAGGGATGTGTTCTAAGCACAACACTTTTTCTCCTTGCTATAAATGATTTGGCCTCTGTTCTTCCACCCAATATTTGGTCGTCACTCTGTTGATGACTTCGCTATTGCTTGTGCAGGCGCTGACTGTCATCTTATTGCAGTTTCTCTCCAGCATGCGGTCAACCGTGTTTCCACTTGGGCCACCACGCATGGGTTTAAATTTTCAATTACCAAAACTCGCCAAATTACTTTCACTAGACGCTCTGTTATCTCCGATCATCCTTTGTATCTCTATGGCTCCCGTATCCTCGAACGTGATAGTCAGGTTTCTAGGCCTTCTCTTTGACCGTCGGTTATCCTGGAAACCTCACATAACCTCTCTGAAGGCAACTTGTCACAGCCGGCTAAACCTTCTTAAAACCCTTGCTCATCTTTCCTGGGGAGCTGATCGTCGAACTCTGCTTCGCCTACATTCAGCCCTCGTTTTATCGAAACTCGATGATGGTGACCAGATTTATTCCGCGGCCTCTCCTGCTACTCTCTAGCCTTAACTCTATCCATCACCAAGGATTACGTTTGTGCCTTGGTGCTTTTCGCTCTTCCCCTGTTGAGAGCCTCTATACAGAAGCGAATGTTCCATCCTTGTCTGATCGCCGTGATGCCCATTGCCTTCGCTTCTATGTACGCTCTCACGATCTACACAATACTTCCATTTATAGAATGGTCACCGATATTAGTAGACATTCTTTATTCGTTCGCCGCCCCTGTTTGCTCCGTACCTTTTCTCTTCGCCTACATTCACTCTTGTCTTCCCTTCAGTTACCACCTTTATATGTTCATGTAGCATCTCGCTTTTCCCTACCCCCCTGGGAAGTTCCAGCTGTTCGGGTCTGTTCTTTCTCACTCCCTTGCTCGAAAGCTCAACTGCCTACGGTGGCTTCCCGCTCTTTTTCTTGATCACTTCCACTCCCATTCTCATGCCACCGCTGTGTACACAGATGGCTCCAAGTCTTCAGACGGCGTCGGATTCGCAGCAGTGTTTCCGGACAGCATCGTGCGGGGACATTTACTATCTTCAGCTAGCATTTTTACTGCTGAACTGTATGCCATTCTTACAGCACTTATTCGTATCGCATCTATGCCTGTGTCATCATTTGTGGTTGTCTCAGACTCCCTTAGTGCTCTACAGGCTATACGAAAATTTGATACATCTCGTCCCCTAGTTCTCCGTATCCAACTTTGGCTATGCCGTATCTCTACCAAACATAAAGATATTGTTTTTTGTTGGGTCCCTGGTCATGTCGACGTACAGGGCAATGAACAGGCGGACACTGCTGCGCGGTCAGCAGTACATGACCTACCAATTTCCTATCGAGGTGTTCCATTTCTGGAATATTTTGCTGCAATAGCTACCCACCTTCGCACCCGTTGGCAACAACGTTGGTCAACTCTGCTCGGTAGCAAACTTCATTCTATTAAACCGAGCATAGGTTACTGGCCGTCTTCTTGTCATCAGTGCCGAGGTTGGGAGACCACTCTCTCCCGCCTTCGCATTGGTCACACTCGTCTTACTCATGGGTATCTCATGGAGAGGCACCTGTTCCTCTCTCTGGAGCAGTGTCAAGTTCCAGTATCGATTAGCCACATTCTGTTAGACTGCCCTCTCTATCAACGAGCACGCAGAATTTACCTCCAACGTTGTCTTCGTTCTACTACTCTCTCTTTACCTTCCCTTCTTGCTGATGGACCCTCCTTTAATCCTGACTCTCTCATTGACTTCTTGACAACGACTGATTTATTCCACAAACTCTGATACTTTTCGCACTCCCCTCAGCCCTTTCTAGTTAAGTCTCTTGCTGCCCTTTACCCTTTCACCATCCACTGCCCCGCTGTTATCCGTAACCTATTACTCATCCATCTCCCTTTTGCCACCTGATGCCCTCACTTCCTTCCTGCCCTGCAGCGCTGTATAGTCCTTGTGGCTTAGCGCTTCTTTTTGATTATAATAATGGAGGAGAGGAGTGGTATTCGGGGGCAAGAACTTTACTGTGATGAACCCAAACTCCTTCAGAATTAGGTCATCCAAGTTTGGAGGATGAGCAGGTGCATTGTCCATTACTAGGAGGCACTTGAGATCCAATTCCTTTTCCAGGAGGTAATTCTTCACACTAGGGCCAAACACTTCATTGAACCACTCTACAAAAATTTCCCTCGTGACCCATGCCTTGCTATTAGATTTCCAAAACACACACAATTTACTCTTCATAACATTGTTTTTCCTGAACACTCTGGGATTTTCAGAATGGTACACTAGTAATGGCTTCACTTTGAAATCCCCTCTAGCATTAGCACAGAACATTAGCGTCAGCCTGTCTTTCATAGGCTTGTGTCCTGGCATTGCCTTTTCCTCTTGTGTAATGAAGGTCCTCTTTGGCATTTTCTTCCAAAAGAGGCCTGTTTTGTCACAATTGAACACTTGTTCAGGTTTCAGTCCTTCAGCCTCTGTACTCCTGGAAGTCATGCACATATTTTTCAGCCACCTTGTGGTCCGAACTGGCAGCCTCACTATGCCTTACCACACTGTGTATGCCAGTATGCTTCTTAAATCTCTCAAACCAGCCTCTGCTGACCTTAAATTCACTCACATCATCACTATTTGCAGGCAATTTCTTTACCAAATAATCATGCAACTGCCTAGCCTTTTTACAAATAAGCGACGTCATAAGACTGTCTCCTGCTAATTGTTTCTCATTTATCCACACCAATAATAACTTCTCAACATCTTCGAGTACTGATGATCTCATTTTTGTCAGCACATTTACCCCCTTTGCAACAATAGCGTCCTTTATTTCCTTTTCTTGGCTATGATGGAAGATATGGTTGTACGGGATTTGTTATACATCCTGGCCAGTTCGCCCACACGTACGCCACTATCATATTGTTCAATGATGTTTTTCTTAAATTCAATCGTATTTCTCACCTTCTTTACCAAAGGCTTGGCTCTAGGAGCTTTCTTTGGAGCCATGGTAGCTTATTTAGCACTTAAATAACTTGCAAGCACCAAAATAAATGAAATATTATGAAATATTTCGCTGGAGCACGTGAGGGGACCGTCGCTCACTGGTAAACAATGGCACACTGGCTGGGAAGGAAAGGCCAAGGCGGCTTGAGGCCGCTTAGACCGTGAGTACGCGTCCGGGACGAAGGACTATTAGCGAGTTACCGGATCATTTCCGAGCCGATATTTTGACGAAAAAACGGGACTATTTCCGAAATGGACGACTTTCAGGCCGCACGATTATTGAGGGACCACTGTAGTTATATTTTTGTCGACTAGTACACTGGAATTGGCCGAAAATAGGGCTCAAAGTGGGCAAAATTGCTGATGTGTAAACATCATCGAGACCGCTCACTTCGCGAGAGCATAATTCCGTAAGTTTTCCATCAAATTTCATACTTTTGGTGTCTTTATGATCAGGAAAAGATTCTCTATCCTTTTCATATTTTTTTTTTTTTTTTTTTTTAAATTTGGCCGACCATGAGAACAAGTCCGAGAGGGCCTGTCAACCCTGAAAGGGTTAATGAAACTCGCTTTGTGAACAGATGCTTGTAAACTGCTTGTTAAACCATGTTACATGCTTGTGTGTTCCTTTCAGCTGGTGATCCATGTTGGGATGAAGAACAACACAGATAAACTTATGCTGGAGCAGATGGCACACAACACTGGCTACCAGTATTTTGACAATCATAGGATGCTACCAAAAAACAACATTTGCATTCCTGGTGAGCATAAATATCCTCTTAAAGTTGCAATCTAGAATTAGTTTAGTTTATAATGGTGTTTTTTATATCCTTGTCACTATTAAACTTCAAATTTCTTTACTTCTCGTATAACCCAAGACCTGTCTGCAATTGAGAAATGATGAGAAGAGGGATATCTGGACAGTCAGCTGGTACAGTGACTATTACTGTTTATTATTACTACCTATTACTACTAATACCGGAGGGCCCCGCTAATACAACAGGTTAGGTTTCAGGCTACTGCTGTAAAGTGAAAATTGGCATAAAGTGAAACGCCCTTTTTTTTTCACTTTCAAATGCGAATACAGTGGACCCCCAACTTACGATGTCCTTAACCTACGTTAAAACCTACTTACGATGCTTGTCAGTGTAAAAATTTGACCCCGACCTACGTTGGAAAAACTCGACTTGCATCATTCGTCCTGAACGCGGCCGTCTGGTCCGTCTGGCCCGAGTACCTCAGCTGAGCTAGTGTGACATTGTTTACAAGCTGGGGCGGACGGTTGCACACATACATTCGGTAAATTTTGTATTTCAGTGTTTTTAGTGCTTGTAACTGCTAAATAAGCCACCATGGGCCCAAAAGAAGCTTAGTGCCAACCCTGTGGTAAAAAGAGTGAGAAATACCATTGAAATACATACTATCATACCACGGTCAGCTGCTGCTGTAGCACAGTCTGCTGCTGCTGCTGTAGCACAGTCTGCTGCTGCTGCTGTAGCACAGTCTGCTGCTGCTGCTGTAGCACAGTCTGCTGCTGCTGCTGTAGCACAGTCTGCTGCTGCTGCTGCTGCTGCTGTAGCACAGTCTGCTGCTGCTGCTGCTGTAGCACAGGCTGCTGCTGCTGCTGCTGTAGCCAGTCTGCTGCTGCTGCTGCTGCTGTAGCACAGTCTGCTGCTGCTGTAGCACAGTCTGCTGCTGCTGTAGCACAGTCTGCTGCTGCTGTAGCACAGTCTGCTGCTGCTGTAGCACAGTCTGCTGCTGCTGTAGCACAGTCTGCTGCTGCTGTAGCACAGTCTGCTGCTGCTGTAGCACAGTCTGCTGCTGCTGTAGCACAGTCTGCTGCTGCTGTAGCACAGTCTGCTGCTGCTGTAGCACAGTCTGCTGCTGCTGCAGCACAGTCTGCTGCTGCTGCAGCACAGTCTGCTGCTGCTGCAGCACAGTCTGCTGCTGCTGCAGCACAGTCTGCTGCTGCTGCAGCACAGTCTGCTGCTGCTGCAGCTATTGTAGCACAGTCTGCTATACTTTTCGAAGATGTGGAGAGACTGTTATTGGTGTGGCTTATCGAGAATACCGAGAAACAATTAACCCCCAGAGGGTTAGCCACCCAGGATATCCCAAGAAAGTCAGTGTGTCATCATAGACTGTAACTTATTTCCATTAGGATCCTTAATGTTGTCCCCCCAGGATGCAACCCACACCAGTCGACTAAAACAAAGGTGAACAGGAAAAAATACCTGGAACTAGTGCTCATATTGGTGAATTTAAGGCCAGCAAAGGTTGGTTTGAGAGATAAGAGCTGTAGTGGCATACACAGTGTGATGAGGCCTGTTCTGGAAGAAAATGCCAAACAGGACCTACAATACTCAGGAGGAAAGGGCATTCCCAGGACAGTGTCTCATCACTCATCATTACATCTTCAATAAAGGTGTCATTTATTCTTCATTTAGTACACTAGTACATGCACAATATATATTGTGCATGTATCCTTTTTATGTAGGCAAATGTATATTTCATGTGGTAAAAAATTTTTTTTTTTTCATACTTTTGGGTGTCTTGAACGGTTTAAATTTTGATTTCCATTATTTCTTTTGGGGAAAATTAATTAAACTTATGATAATTTAGTCTTACAATGTGCTCTCAGGAATGGAATAATATCGTAAGTCGGGGTTCCACTGTAAATGCCTGATAACATATTTATACTATCATTCAGGGTATTCACAAAAACACTTCCTGATTTTAAACAGGTATAACATGTAACTTTATTGTAATAATCTCTGTTAGTAGCTTCAGATACAGGATTTCATTTTCATGTTATACAGGTTCTCCATCACAAATCCGGCATCATTGGGACCTGTAGTGTGCCGGATTACAGAGTGGTTAAGTTAGAATACTTAATAAAATTAACCAACTTGGCTTACACAAAGTTCATTGAACATCGGCAAAAATCGAACATTTCTGCTACTTTGAGCTCAGTTTCAAGGTACTTTTTGTCATGAAAGCAATCAAAATAGTGTCTGTTTCTGTAATATATCTTCCATTCTATCAAATGAGTTGAAAAAAAAAAAAGAATAAAACCATAAAAACCATACGAAAATATACTGCAAAGAGGCGGCTAATGGCTGAGAAGTGAACTCCCTTATTATCGTCCGTCTTTTTTATTTTTGTTTTACGTTAAGAAGAAACTTTCCATCATACATTGCTCAAGTTTCAATGAGATAGCCCAACAAACAACAAAGAAAGAAAAATATTTACCAAAAATCATATATGGCAAGCCCAAGCCAGGTACTGGAAATAAGTCACTTTGACTTTTCAGGGTTATCCCAGGTTCTTGATACATACACTGCTATGTATGATAATCTATGTAACTGTATTTGTGTATACCTGAATAAAATATTTACTTCTAGTCTGTCAACTGAGTACAAGAAACCGCCCATTCACTTATTTCAACTACCCAGTGAAGAGGTCAGAAATTGGCAATTTGGCCGATTTCACACGAATTTCAACAGATGCCAATTTCAAAATAGGGTCCAGGATAAACAATGTAGACATTCCTGGCACTAAAATAACATTTTCTCAGTTCATTAGTCATGGCTCTAGGCCCCTCTTATATGACTCTTGCTTACCATTTGGAATTTTTATTCACAAAAAAAAAAAAAAAAAAAATTCAAGATTTACTGTTATGCAGACTGCTGCATTATTGTAATAATTGTATAAATAATGTCAACCTATTCTTGACTCCGTTTTGGAATTTGGACTGGCAGGCAGACAGGTATTGGACGGTGACGTCATTTGTTTAATCTTGAGCTTTGCTGAAGAATAGAACATTTTCGCTACTGTGAGCGCAATTTCAAGGTACTCTTCATCATGAAAGCTATCAAAATCATATCTGTTTCTGTAATATATCTTTCATTCTATGAAATGAGACCGAAAAAATAAGAATATAACCATAAAAACAATAAAAAAATGTACCGGTAAGCGGCCGCTAATGGCCGAGAAGTGAACTCCGCTATTTGTGGTCTAATTTCTTTTATTTTTGGTGTACGTTAAGAAGTATCTTTCCATTATACATTGCCCACGTTTCAATAAGAAAACCCAACAAACAACTGAGAAAATATAATAATCAGTAGTCACTTGCGGTCATACTTGCCTAAGCTCTTGGGAGTTAGCGTGGGCTGTTACCAAGCACCATGGCTTGTTGAAGTGTTTTAGAATCTTGGGTTCAAGTGTTGAAGGAGATTCTACTTCAGGAGGAAAATAGGAGGCTGAAGCTTCGCATAGATGAGTTTAGGAGTGAGTGTGAGAAGGATTTAGCTGGTAAGGGGGAAATGGTCATCAGCAGTGATAGTGGCAGCTGCTTTAAGTGGCAAGTGGTTCACAGTTCAGGAAGAAGGAAGATGAGAGTTAATAAAGATGTGAAGGTAGGAAATCGATTCTCTGTTCTCCAAGACGAGTGTACTTCAGTGGTTAGCGAGGTTGAAGGTACCACTGATTCCCTTGCTAATCAAGGCAAGAATATTTTAATAGGCGATTCTTGGGCAAGATATATGGACCGTGCATTTTGTAACAGACAGAAAGGTCAGACAGTGTGCCTTCCTGGAGCTGGTGTTGGTGACAGTCAGCAGGTTGGATAATATGGCAGGTAATGGGAACAAGCCCATTATCTGTCTTAGTGCTGGGGGTAATGACATTGGGAAGGGCAGGAGAGAGGAGCTGCTGGATAAGTACAGGTCAGCCATAGAAGTAGTTAGGTCTAAGGGAGGGATCCCAGTCATATGTAGCATCTTGCCTAGAAAGGGAGTGGGCAATGAATGGATGTCTAGGGCAATTGGTATAAATTGCTGGCTAGGCAGGTACTGCAAGGAACTTGCAATCCCATTCATTGATAACTGGGACCTATTCTTTGGCAAACGTGATATGTATGCAAGGGATGGGGTTCATCTCTCTGGGGATGGAGTGGTTGCATTAGCCAATTGAATTGAGAGGGTAATTGATGACTTGTCTAGGAATTTAAACTGATACATTATAGAGGTATGGGTGTTTGTGGGAAACAATCAGGTGCAGCATTAGGGTTAAAAACAGCAGTTATTACCGGGATACCTCAGGGATATGTTTAAGACAATATTCAAAATAAAGTTGCTAGTAATGGCAAATCAATTTATCAGCAAAGAAAGATAGTAGAAGGCAACGAGCGACTAGCTCCCTTAAGGTTTGCTATACAAATAGTAGGAGTCTAAGAAATAAGATAGATGAGCTAAGATTACTTGCAAGTGCAGGCAATATAGATATTATTGGTATAACAGATCTGGTTCAACTTGAAAGATAGAGAAATGCCTTCTGAATGCAACACACAGGGTTAAACTATTCCACACTGATAGGGTCAACAGGGAGGGTGGTGGAGTGGTGATGTATGTCAGAGAAAATTTAAATTGTTGTCTTAGACATGATATAAGATTAGAAACATCGAACACAGAATCTGCTTGGCTACAGTTTCTCGAGGGACGTGAGAAATTAATTTTGGGTGTGATTTATAGGCCCCCAAACCTTGATAGGGAGTGCAGTAAGCTGTTATGGGATGAAATTCATAAGGCATCTAGATATGAAAGTGTTGTGATATTGGGAGATTTTAACTTTAGACAAATTGATTGGAACAGTATGACAGGAAATCTTGAGTCTAGTGACTTTCTTGATATGGTTCAGGATTGCTTTTTAGAACAGGTTGTGACAGAACCAACTAGAGGAAACAATCTGCTTGACTTGGTTC